TATTCTTGTCGGGCCTCACGTGCTGTACACAACACAGGTATGGTTTCATTTCAACGTAAAAATATCCTATGAAGAATTGTGTCAATCAACAGTCAGCAAAAAATATAAATGTGTCTATAGTATTCAAAAATTAAGAGTTAAGCCGCAGTTTATTAAAAAAGAGCATTAATTCGTATAGCTTATGTGTCGATTTAATTAATTCATGTTTAACATGAAATCTGTAAAGTATAAATCTCAGCTTTTTATGCCTCTGATAAATACACTGCGTTTCAAATAAAATGCACCACCTAGAAGGAGTAGGCCTAGAATGTTGAAATTTGGTGGAGAAGACTGTTGCATATAGATAAACATTTGATGAAAATTTGAATTAAAAACTACAACTTGTTTAGATAATATACTGGGTGTTATTCGATTTTTATTAATTTTTTGATTATGTTTTAAAGACACTTGAGTAAGAGTCTTTTGCAGTTTGACTTGACATTTGTCATGATTGTGCTTGCAAAAATGCTAGTAGTTCGCACACGAGGTAATTTTCAACAGATAACACCTATTGAAAGAGGGCGAATTATTGGGTTCCATGAGGCTGGTTTACCATTTCGGGAAATCACCAGAAGGCTAGGCCCAACGCATTCTACGATATTAAGAACAAGTTTAGTCGTATATTTATTTTGGGAACCAGGACGAAAACACTCATAATATCACATTTCCTATACGTATTCTCGCAGAAAATTTTGGCATTTTGGACTCGAAGTTCATTTGTCGTTACCAAAATTAAGAATGAAACCGGTAAATGACAAAATGAATAATTATTAGAAGACTGCTACCTGAAGAGTTAAATAAGTGAGAATTAAGAAAAGTTTAAGCCGGATGCGGCCTGTTCAATTCCAATAAACAAAACACTCCAGTTCTGATTTTAATTATTGGTAAAGATTGTACTGAAATTTCTTGGTATTTGTTAAATAAATGTAAAATTTGAAAATTTTACAGAAATATGCATGAATATCTTTGTGTCCTCGTTGAAGGACCTTTGGCATTCCTGCCGAGGAAGAAGTTTCGGGTCTCGGAGAAGTTCGTTTCTTGCTTCTTGTAGCTTGGTCTTCAGTTCCATAAGCTGGGTATCGTGAAGTTTTAGTTTATCTGTCAGGTTTGTCACACAAACGTTGTTGGCATTCTGGTTTTCGAGAGGCGGTTGTGACGTGGATACAGCCCAGAACTGAAAATAGTGACGTTCAGGTATTTCTGAATATCTTATACTCACTCCGGGGTTGTCAGAATTTCTTACAATTGTGCTGTTGAGACGAGTATTCTCGACGGCATTGTTTAATTGATGATTATTGAAAAATACTGTCGGGATTTAAACATTTACGAAGTGTATATTTTATTTAGTATCTGGAATGCATGACATAAATATTATAATACGCCCGACGACCTTGGTAAGAAGAAATTAAATATTCCATTTATTGTGATGGATGCAGAAAATAATTCGGGAAATGGTTTTATTTAATATTGTTACTTCAACTAAAATAACAAAATCCAAGAAAAATTATGCAATGACTAATCTCACTTGGTTCTTAAAAAAATGTAAACACTAAACGCATATAAACATAGTGTAAAGTTTTTAACCTGATGGTATTCTATTTTATTTCGGATTGTTTTTCTTAACAACAACTAACGGGTGACTAATTAAAAATCTGCCAAGAGGGCAAGGTCCTATTTTATTGTTTTTCTCCGTTGTCCTGTCAATGTCAAACTCAGTTTAAGTTTGCACATAGCCGACTAGTATAAAGATTAGAGATGGGCGATGTTTAACGATGATGGTGAAACATCGATGTTTTGATTTCGATGTACGATGTTTTAACATCGAATTTGCCGTCTTCCTACCATCGATGAAACATCGATATTTTCAGAAACATCGAAATACGACATCCATCTAGAATTTTGGCCTTGGGCACACGAAATCGTGAATCTCACTAATGACATACATTACCAAATATGAAAAATGTTCTTGTTTATCATGTAATTAAAAAATAACATCCAATAATAATCTATATGACAATATTATATCCCAAACATCGATATTTACAAACATCGATGTTTTGACGTCGATGATTTTTGACCATCGATGGACCATTTTCGATGTTACATCGATTGTTAGTACTGCCCGCGGTACATAATAGTGGTTTTCTCGTTATTCCATCTAATCCATTGTAGGGTTTTCCGGTTTTCCCAAAAATGGATTTTAAAATTGTATGTTAAATCGTTTCAAATGATTGCTGGCAGCACTGTACCAATAATTCATTATTTGCTTAAATTCTTAAATCTGCTACGTTTTCGGAATTCGATACGCTTCTTATTGTCAGATTGAAAAAAATGGCGGCTATTTCACGTAACTACACTCTGCCTTGGGATAATCTCACAATATACATAATTGATGTATGTGCATACATCAGCTAGATTTTCAATATATGTATAGAACAAATATATTTATTTTTTTATCAACCTCTCTCCAACCGACACCTATGAATAACGGACACTTTCTGAGCCACCAAAGCTGTCCGTTGTAGGGAGGTTTTGCTGTATCAGGGTTTGTAAACTCGCAAAATATGAGCATATGGAGTGCAGAAAATGCTCGCTATTTTTAAGATTTGCCATTACACCCACTAAAAATTGGAGTTTCGTGTGCCATTTCTGGAAGACGAATATTTGGGGCCATTTTCTTCAAGGAGTCTGTTGCAGCTGCAAGATATCAGAACGTGCTGCAAGAATTCATTGATCAGCTTGATCCTGCAGAACTGCAGAATGGATATTTTCAGCATGACGGCACAACAGCTCATACAGCTCAAAAAATTTGAACTTTGTAAGGGTATTTTAAGACGATGGTTTAATTAGCTCCCACACAGATCACATTTACCCACCTCGATCACCTGATTTAACACCATTAGATTATTTCTTGTTCCAAACTTTAAAGAACACTATTTTTAAACAATCAGTACATTCTATTCTAGAGTGAGAATCTTACAATAGAATATGCGATTATGCGAATATGAAACGCCGACTCAATTTATGTATCGAAATTGGGGGCCAAGACTTCCAGCAGTTGTTGTAAACTCAATTTAATATGACAGTTATCATACATTAATTATTTTAAATCTAACGAGGATTTAATTTTCGTTGACATAACATAACCTAGCTTTCTAAGTTCAGCCAGAGACAACCCAATTCAGGTTACGTTGTGACATTGTAAATTCATCACAATAATGCACAATTTTAGGAAAATATTGCTAAGTTCATTCAAATTTAATATTTTATTTAATTAAACTTGATCTATCAGCAAATTCCTAGGTAACTAGATCGCCAATCAAAAAAATCACCCGGTAAAATATATTTGGATATGGTTGTTTTAGCAATTCATCGATCTTAAAAGTGTCTATATCAGAATCATCAATAAATTATGATTTTTTTTTATTTGCTTTAGCCTATATGATAAGAGACAGAAATTCTTAAAAGTGAGATGAGCTTCTTCTAGCTGCAAGAGTTTAAGTAGGTAATACAAATTACCATATTTATTTATCCTGCCGATGCCGGTTCTTGGTGAATTGGAGTTAGATCAACTTAAACTAAAAGAAGGAATATAAAACTCGGCCAAAATGGTTCTTCAGATTGCAAAATTTACTTTTTAGAAGTGTACCAAAAATAATGTAAAGGTAAAGTTAAAACAAACTGATACCTTATCCTCAACATACAACAGCCAAGGTATAGTACAAAAATAATACATAGATATATATTTAGAACCTGGAAGGCACAACATATTAGATTTTGTCGACCGTCGAAATTTAGACTTTGGTAAGAAGAAATTAAATATTGTATGAATTTATCATGTGATGGTTGCAGAAAATAATTCGAAATCTGGTTTTATTTAGTTATTTAAAATAGAAAAAATCGCCAAGAAGAATTATCCAATCAATAAACCTAACTTCGTTCTTAAAAAAATAATGTAAACGTTAAACACATAGTAACAGCTGTAAACCGTTTAATCTGATGACATTCTTTTGCATTTCGGATTGCTCTTCTTACAAACTGGTAAGCTTTATGTAACATTTTCCGGTATCGATGTTTTAGTAATTCATTAGTTTTAATGTTGTTTATATCAACAACACCAATAAATTATAGAACTTTTCTTAATTTATTGTTGAGTTTTTACGTATCTGCGTGATGGTTTTATGTGGGTTTCAAAATTTCATTTGTAGAAATGGCTCACAAATAATGTAAAGGCAAAGTTAAACCAAACTGATACAATATTTTCGATATAAAACCTTAGATCATATAATAAATAGATACCACCATGCCGTGTTCTTTCCCTAGGACAGCCTGTGACGACATCCTCCTGTCACACATCTCTCTCGTGCATGGAGGGATTACAATGAAGCTATCCTTGCCTGATCACTATTTGAATTTTGCGCGCCTAGATTTTAGGAAGTATGTCTAAACTAACTTCGGAAGAAAGATGTTGACAGCTTGATTTTATAAATAATTCACAGTAGATAACGAAAGGAATAGTAAATTATTGGGCAGCAATTGTGATCCTTTATGACTACATCACTTAAAATAGGATCTTTGTTCTAAATTCTAAAATTGTTTTTTGTACAACAACTCAAAAGAGAGGTTAAAAGAAACATCTCTCAAAAGCGATTTGTTGCGCTGGTGCGGTACAAGGATGGAAGTGAAATAGACATATACAGATGAAATGCATATAACAAAGATGAAGATGTGGTGATCACACAAGGATAGCATTATACTACTCCCCTTGACGCAGAAAACGACAACAGATAGCTTCATGTCTAGTTACAGCTTTCAGTTTGAGTATTGGTATCTATTTATTATATGATCTAAGTATAAAACGGCTAAAGTACAACTCAAAAGAACTAAAAAATATCAAAAAGCTTTATTTATATCAAAGTGGTAAAGTGATAAAGATACATTTTGAAAACATCCTAGATCTCTCAATCTACAGACCGGATCATCATTCGAACTTGCTTCAGACTGTACGTATCTCCATGAAATGAATTCCAGTGGATGTTTTGGTGATTTTTACTTTGACCTAGGGCGGCATACAGGCCCGTAAGTTGATTGTGGTAGCACTTATGATACCACCACGCGCCCTCTGCAGGAAACAACAATAAATTAGAGTAAAAACTGTGGTCACCTACATTTGAAATTTCAAATTTGGCGCTACAACTAGATGGCAGCAGTGAGGAGGAGGCAGTACGGGACACGACGGTATCTAAACAGAATAATAAACCGCTCGTTCGAAGAGTAAAGATTAGTTTTACTAAAAAACCGACTACAATTTCAGGAGTGGGATGAACGACCTTAACATCGGAATGACCAATGTCCGATTTGTGTTTGTAAAGTGCTGATTCATGGAATAGTTACACGGATAAATGGTAGAAGAGTCAAGCACGTGGGAAATGTGAGGTTATGTCAACTCATCGCGTTTTCATAAAAGGAGAAGATGGCAAGAACCCTCCAAGAAGTGGAGTTGTGTGACGACGCTATTAAGAATGGTCCTTATGCATCGGTACGTACGCTATACGGCCTTGCCTTTGACGACGGTAGTCGGTTGAACAGAAAGAAGCTGTGTCAATGGACGGGTTTCCCTTTTGAGATCGCATCAGATGACTTCAATGAGAAAGTGGATGAGGTAGTGCAGAATTTTAAGATCGCAGAACTTTGTGGAGTCGGCCTTCTACTGGGGTTGAATTGTGCAGGTACTCATCAAGAAGTGGCCGAGAGAATTTGTTCAGTGTTGACTGGTTTTGATCTGTTTACACAAGAAAGAGTTGTTCAAGAACAAGAGAGTGAAGACGAGGACGACGAAGATCATCCGGTAGACAGTGATGATGGTCGAGCAGGCGCGGCAGCAGTCCTTACGTTCACCATGTCTTTCAGAGACATCGAAGATTCCGTACGCACTTTTAGTGGTGATGACAATTATGCAATCGAGACTTGGGTCGCAGACTTTGAAGACATCGCTAAACTTATGAAGTGGTCGGAACTGCAACGACTAGTTTTTGCGAAGAAATCATTAACTGGGCTTGCTAAGTTATTTATCCAAAGTCAGAGGAATTTGGGTACATGGAAGGACTTGAAACGCAGGTTATTGAGTGAATTTTCCAAGAAGGTGAGCACTGCTGAACTGCATCGCATGCTGAATAATAGAAAAATGAAAAAAGAAGAATCTCTCCAGGAATACTTGTTGAAGATGCGTGAACTCGCTTCAAAGGGTCAAATTGAAGAGGAGTCAGTAATCGAATATGTCATTCAAGGTATCAACGATGATCCTGAACACAAATTTTTGTTGTATGAAGCTAAAACTTATGTCGACTTAAAGAAAAAAATTGAAGTTTATGAGAAGATTAGAAAGACCCGTACACCTTCGACTCAATCTGTTGGTCAACGTTTCCGAAAGCATAACGAAAACAAAGGAACTTATTCTCCGGGGTCTATAGGAGCGAAGGGCAGTAGTAAACCCCCTCCAAATCAGAACATAATTAGAAGATGCTATAATTGTAATGGTGTGGGCCATTTCGCCTCAAATTGTCCAATTCCGGTGAGGGAAAAGGGTTCCTGTTACAATTGCGGTTCAAAGGAACATCAGAAGAGGAATTGTCCAGGGAAGAAAAAGGAAGACAACACCACCAATGTGATATCAACCGAGACACAAGATCCCTATATGGTAAACGTTAAGATTAATGTTAAAGATGATTGTCAAACCGAATGTAGCTATAATTTGAATTCATTAATCGATACAGGTAGCCCAATTTCAGTTGTAAAAGTTCGGTATGTCACCGAAAATAATTTCAATGAAGGTCTAAATCCAAATTTAAATTTCGTGGGTGTGAATGGATCGAAGCTTGATATTTTGGGTATTTTTAACACGGAAGTATTTGTTAATGAAACTGTTTTACCCATAAAATTCTATGTAGTTCCTAATAGCACCATGTCCTTTAACGCTATATTAGGTAGAGATTTTCTCAATACCAAGGGTTTCACGTTTACGTTAGGAGATCATTTAAAAATTATTTCAAACGAATTTGAGAAAGTAAATAACTTTGACGAAATTTTACATGTCGATTTTAAGGTAGGTGAAGAAATAAAAAGTAACAAAGAAGTACAGATCAATCCTTGTTTAGATTACGATAAAAAAGTGGAAGTTTTGGAAGTGTATGATAATTTTTATTTATGTAATGACTCGCCAAAGATTGATTGTAATTACGAAATGAACATTTGTGTTAAGAATAATGAACCAATCTCTTTTAGACCACGGCGTTTATCCTTTTCTGAAAAAGAAAAATTACAAAACATGTTAGATGATCTATTAGAACGAGGCATTATTAGACCTAGTAGCTCTGATTACTGTAGTCCAATTGTACTGGTAAGAAAAAAGACAGGTGATTTAAGGCTTTGCGTTGATTATCGCGAATTAAACAAAATTACTATTAAAGACAACTTTCCTACTCCTTTGATAGAAGACAATCTGGATCGACTTCGAAACAAAAGATATTTTACGACCCTTGATCTTAAGGATGGTTTCCATCATGTTCGTGTAGCAGAATCGTCGATTAAATTTACTAGTTTTATCACACCTTTAGGGCAATTTGAATATCTTAGAATGCCTTTTGGGTTAACTAATGCCCCAAGAGTTTTTAACAGATTTATTAATTTAGTTTTCAATAAATTAATTCGAGCAAACAAAATTATTTTGTACTTAGACGACATTCTAATAGCGACCAACAGTTACGAAGAACATTTAGATATTTTGAAAGAAGTATTTGGTGCAGCCTCCCAACACAATTTGCTTTTTCGAATTGATAAATGTGCTTTTCTTATGTTTGAAATTTCTTATTTAGGATATCTAGTAAACAATGATGGCATCAGACCTGATCCGAAAAATGTCGAAGCAATTTTGCAGTATCCAATTCCTACAAATGCTAAGGAAGTTCATAGGTTTGTTGGTATTGCTAGTTATTTTCGAAAATTTATAAATGGGTTTTCCGTCCTTACAAAACCTTTATATGACTTGTTAAAAAAGAATGTTGAGTTTCGGTTTGGTGAAAAAGAACTTGAATCATTTGAACAAGTAAAAAATCAATTAGCTTCTTATCCTCTTTTAGCTGTGTATGATCCGCATACCCAAACAGAGTTGCACTGCGATGCATGCACATCTGGGTTTGGAGCTATTTTACTTCAAAAACAGTCGTCGGGAAAGTTTCATCCTGTTTTTTATTTCAGTCGTAGGACGACCGAAACCGAATCTAAATATCACAACTTTGAATTGGAATGTTTAGCCGCTATTTATGCTATTAAACGATTTCATATATATCTCTTCGGTATACATTTTACGATTGTCACAGACTGTGATAGTTTTAGGCTTACTCTGAATAAAAAAGATATTAATGTTCGAATTTCTAGGTGGGCACTATTCTTACAAAATTATGACTACGAATTGCAACATCGTCCAGGAACACGGATGATCCATGTTGATGCTTTAAGTCGAGCCAACAATATTTTAGTACTAGAGGAAAATACACTGGAACAAAATTTAGCTATTTCTCAAAATTTAGATTCGAGTATTCAAAAGGTTAAGTCTGAACTCGAAATCCGCGAAAGTACAAAATTTGAACTTAGGAATGGACTAGTGTATAGAAATAGCAAAGGAAAGCTTTTATTTTACGTTCCTTCGTTGATGGAAAGTCAGATCTTAACTATGTGTCATGATAATTTCGGTCACGTTGGCGTGGACAAAACTATGGAGTATCTAAAACGCAGCTATTGGTTTCCTAGTATTAAAGAAAAAGTGAAAAATCATGTTCGAAATTGTTTGAAATGTATCACCTTTTCACCAATTGGTGGCGCTGTGCCGAGTGAGTTACACAATATCCCTAAAGGAAATAAACCCTTTGTCACCATACATATTGACCATTATGGTCCATTAGAAAAAACTTCGACAGGTAAAAGATATATTTTTGAGATCATTGATTGTTTCACTAAATTCGTAAAACTGTATGCAGTCAAGAGCACCAAAACTTGTGAAGTAATCAATCAGTTAGAAAATTATTTTAGGCACTATAGTGTACCATTACGTATTGTATCCGATCGGGGATCCTGTTTTACCTCTAATGAGTTCGAAAAGTTTGTTCAAGAACATATGATTCAGCATATTAAAGTCGCGACGGGGTCACCAAAATCAAACGGTCAGATCGAAAGAATCAATCGAGACTTAACACCAATGTTGTCAAAATTGGCTATTTTAACAAACAAGTGGGAGAAAGCTTTGGGAAGAGTTGAATTTGCTATTAACAATTCGTTTTGTAGATCCACTGGTAATTCTCCATCCGTTTTATTGTTCGGTATTAGTCAAAACGATCCTAGCGATCCTTTAAGAAATGTATTGGGCGCTGAAGCTGAAAAAGAAGATGACTTAGCCGAGGTTCGAGAAAAGGCTCAGTCTCAGAATGAAAAGTTACAAGCATACAATAAGCGCATGTATGACCAAAAACATAGACCTCCTAAACCGTACAATGTCGGTGATTATGTGATGATAAAAAACATAGATGTTACACCAGGTATTAATAAAAAACTTTTACCTAGGTATCGTGGTCCCTACGAAATCAAGAAGTCATTAGGCAATGATCGTTATTGGATTACAGACGTTGAAGGTTTCCAAGTAACGCAAACCCCATTTGAGGGAGTATGTTGTCCTGAGAATATGAAGCTTTGGCTTCAATAAGTTACAAAGAGATTAGTTTCATTTGTTCATTATTTCATAATGTTGTGTTTCTAAGTTTTGTTTCCACCTCGTTCTAGTTTTGACGCTAACATGTTCGTCTTTTAAGCCGTCTTTTAAGCGATTGGGTTTTCTAATTCATCTCTAATACCCTTATAATTTTTATGTGTCCTAATTACTTATGTGATTTATGTACTTTAGATACTTATGTGCGTCTTATCATTATGTTATTTAGGCGTTATATTATGTATTGGATTTATGTGACTTATGTTTTTAACATTTTATGTTTCACTAACTTATGATGTTTGTGTGACTGAAGTTTTAAGCACCTTATGTTTTCTGTCACTTATTATGTTATGTACCTTATGTTTTACTTTGTGTATATGATCGGGACGATCATAATGTCAGGATTGGCCGAATTGTGGTCACCTACATTTGAAATTTCAAATTTGGCGCTACAACTAGATGGCAGCAGTGAGGAGGAGGCAGTACGGGACACGACGGTATCTAAACAGAATAATAAACCGCTCGTTCGAAGAGTAAAAATTAGTTTTACTAAAAAACCGACTACAAAACAAACTTTATTTTTAATATTGGCTGCTGGCTTTTGATTGAAAATTAAAAACTGAAACTTCATTTTTCATTTGTTTGTTAATATATTCTGCTGGACGTTTCGGCAAGGCGTCCCTTGCCTTTATCAACCTATCGGTTACAAAATCAGAAGTGAGGTTATGTATATTTGTTTCAATTACAATTCGTCCGTGAATTCCACGAGTACATGAAATCAATTTAACAACATGATAATACAGAATTTAAACGTTGTTATAATAAAATTAAAATTACTCCCTTTTTAAACATTAAAACATATTTAAAAAAGATTAGTTAAGGTTAATTAGATAGAACTTCCATCGGAATTGAAATACAGTACTACATATGCCGCTTTTTCGGAAAATAATTAAATTATGGCCAGTCGCTGGGTTTGTCGCAAGATATTTTCAACACATTTGTCTCCCTTGTTAACAGACTTGCTGATGTAAAATTTTAAATATAACGGCTATATAGATGGAACCTGTCAGAATACTTCCTTATTTTACACTTCGGGAGTAAAAAACTTACTCAATCTAACAGCGCAGTTTCCATCATCCGTATCCTGGTCTCTATCTGTGGTTGTAAATTTCATATTTACATGTTGTGAAAAAGAATCTCCAGCGTCTCCGTCAAATTTTCCCATCGCCTTAATTTGGTACCCTACGTTTTCATTCCCAATGATAAACTTGTCATACCGTGCGTAGACTTTCTTCAAATCCCAATCCACAAGCTCGAACAACACCTCATTCAGTTTACTATCTATATATGTATCAAAAAAATTAAAACTAAACATACACAAAACCCACAACTCGCCTGTTAAATGATGCAAATATTCCAACCCCAACCAAAACTCCCCCGAAGGATCACCAAACCCGGTCTTGTATTCCGTCCAGTTTCGGAAAAAATCCACCGAGCCATCGAATCTATTAAGAACGTAAGTCCAGCCGCCCCCTCTTGTTGTCAAGTCGCACCGTGCCCAGAACTCCTCCGGAGAATATATAGGTTTAATTTTGTACAAACTGGAATCTTTGTGACCTCGTTGCAGGACCTCTCGGCAGTCCTGGGGAGGAAGAAGCTTCTGTTCTCGGAGAAGTTCGTTTCTTGTTTCTTGTAGCTGGGTCTTCAGTTCCATAAGTTGGGCATCGTGAAGTTTTAGTTTGTCTTTCAGGTCTGTCACGCAAACGTTGTTGACATTTTGTTGGTTGGAAGGCGGTTGTGACGTGGAGACAACCCAGAACTAAACATAGTTTAGGTTTAGGTGTTTTTATTTAGGTATTTTATACTTACTCCAGGGTTGTCAGAATTTCGGGCAATTGTGCTGTTGATCACAAAAAGTGCGAAAATTAAGACGAGTGTTCTCGGCGGCATTGTTTAACTAATGGTTATGGAACACTGGTGTGCTGTGCAGCTTTAAATACTTATGAAGTGTATATTTTATTTAGAATCTGGAATGCACAACATAAATATTGTGGTATTCCAGACGACCATCTAAATTTAGACTTTGGTAAGAAGAAATTAAATATTGTATCAATTTATCGTGTGATGGTTGCTGAAATTAATTCCGGATCTGGTTTTATTTAGATACTTAAAGTAGAAAAAATCACCAGAAAGTATTATGCAATGAAGAAACCTAACTTCGTTTTTAAAAAAAAAATAACATAAACATTAAACGCATCGCAATGAACTGTAAAGTGTTTAATCTGATGACATTAGTTTGCATTTCGGATTGCTCTTCTTAGCAACTAGTAGGCTTTGTGTTACATGTTAGAGTATCGTTCTTTTAGTAATTCACCGGTTTTAATGTTGTTTATATCAACAACACCCATAAGTTCTAAAATATTTTTTTATTTAGTAGTGAGTTTTCAGGCATTTGCTTAATGCTTTTGTCTGGTTTACTTTAGATTATGTTAATAAATGAAAATTTTTGGAAGTGAAATCAGCACATGCTACTTACAGCAATTTAATACAAAGTTTTATATTTTTGTTCAGCTTATCGTTTCTTGGCAGATTTAGCAGGAGCTACTAGGGATGATTCACATTTTTATTATTTGGGTCAGTTGGACTTAAACTGAAAGAAAGAACATTAAACCTCGCGTAAAAGTATTCTCGATGTCTGAAAATTTTTTAGCTCCCACACAGATCATATCTACGCACCTCGATCATCTGATTTAACACCTTTAGATTATTTCCTGTTACAGACTTTGAAAAACGCTATTTTTAAATAATTAGTGGATTCGACTGAAGAGTGAGAATCTTACAAGTGTTTCGCCGGAAATTCTTACTCGAGTTTTTACAAACATGAAACGCAGATTCAATTTATGTACCGAAGTTGGGGGCCAACACTTTCATCAGTTGTAAATTCCCTTAAATATGTCAACTATAGCAAAGTCATTTAATAGATAGTTCTCTATTAACTAACCTTGAACTATAGTAAATAAATTATCCAATGAGGGTTTAAATTTTGTTGACTTAACATAACCTAGCTTTCGAAGTTCAATAATGAATAAAGTTAAGAACAAATTGCTAAATTCATTCATATTTTATTATTATTTTTTTTTTAATAAAAACCGTGTTAAGTTACGACCTACTTTTCGGTCGAATTTGATTTGTCAGCAAATTCCTGGGTAACTAGATCACAAATCAAAAAATCACGCGGTAAAATATATTTGGAAATAGTTGTTTTAGCAATTCATCATCATCAATGCATCATCAATAAATTATGAAACGTTTTTTTGGTGTGCTTTAACTTATGTTAACAGACAGAAATTGTTGAAAGTGAGATGAGGTCATTTACGTGCAACAGTTTAAATAATGCAAATTTGCACATTTTTTATTGACTCTAAATATGGTTGCACAGAATTATAATAACAACAAATTACATTTTATTGTTCTACTTTACGAGCGTTAACAAAGGAAGTATTGTGTTCGAATCCATCGGGCGACTTGCTACTTTCGTGTTTCATCTGTCTGTCTTTACTGTCAATTTTTATAAGACAGATAATCTTTAGATTCTTTTTTTTTTTAATCAATTTAGGGAAAGAAAAAGTTAAGTAAGTGCAGTTAGGTAACATTACCGCATAAATCTAATTGTCACGCATGTTTCGATGTCATGAATAAACTCGATACAATATTCAGTGACTATTAATTTCGTTAAGTTGGTAGATTTTTTGTGATATAAATAAGTAATTTTTGTGTCGTCGCAAACTATTACTCTTTTGCGTTCCTTTCTGCATACCTTAAATCGATACCATAATGCGTTTAATAAAATGTGTATGGAAAAAAGCTGTTAGTGTGTAAGCTAGCTTCTAGCGGCGCCGCTATACGTAAACAGACTTTATGGATACATAAAATGTTCCCCATGTGAATATATAGTCCCTTTAACTTTGCACGAATCTACTTGCTTTTATATAAATCAAGACATTGCGAAACCATTTCGCCCCTCCAGAGGAGTGTTTCTGTTAAAAGCCAACTAAACAATTTAAATTTTGTAAGATGGTGGAAATTTTTCGGCGAATATGTTAACATAAATCTCTTTTTGTGAGATAAAATCGTTGCATGTGGTTGGAACAGTTTGCAATGTGCCTTTATGGGGGTATATTAAGGTGATTTATTTTGCACATTGTATTGACTAATGGGCTTTTTTGCGAAGTCTCTTAGAGTCGGCTGAAACAATCGGGGTATATCGGAATATATCATGTGCGACTACAAGAAAAGATTTATTGGATGATACATAAGTGATGAAGAATTCAATCAGAATGGTCGAATGGACAACCTGATTCCGGACGGAAGTTGAGGATCAGATTTCGTGACCCTTGGCGCTCCATTTGACGATTTGCCAAAGAAAAGACTTCAAGAAATGATGGATAGCAGAATTCATAAGGGATGCGGTTGGAATATAATAAGCCACTTGCGTCGAAGACCTCGTGATACTAGACCGCCCTCCTTGTCGGTAATCTCATCACAGGAGCTCCGATATACATTTGACAGATGATGGTTTATTTCATACAAGGCGAAACTTGTTTACAACGTATATACCGTTTGATCCCCATGTATTTTAATGGAAACATCGATCAGAGTTCAACATTTCTAGATGGACCTTGTTTTCAAGATAACTATACCTACTACTATATAAAATGATATCGTAGTTTATTAGAGTGCATGTATTGTTAAGTAGATTTGTGGGGTCACAAATTGAACTAATAATTATTGGCACGCTATAAATAAATTAATAAGACTGCCATCGAACACCAAAGTTATTATAAGGAAAATAATGTGTCATTATTTTCTCTTACTTTAAAATACTAATGCTGCTATTGACCTAGTTTCGCTGTTTATGAGACTCACACAAATGAATTTCGTTGCTTTGTCTAGATTCATTCTTGATCTAAAAATGGATCTGTATCGAACGTTCAATTAAATTTCGCTTTAAAGAAGATTTGAATCGAAATGCGTGTGTACAAATAATATACAAAGATCAATTACGTTTGTATAAAAACAGCGTTACTTATAGCAGAAAAAGAAAAGGCCCCTAATTTCTATTTTATTTCCAAAGTATGCTTAAGTTTTATATCCTGTAAATTTCAAATAGTTAAAAAACTATTCTTTCCATCATTTGTGTTGCTAAATGATAAATTTTACATTTCTAAGGCAAGTCACTTGAACGCTAGAGTTTTTTAAGACATCCTTTTTTATCTCCTTAAGGGTTGAATTTCTGGAAATATCTTTTTCGGGAGTGAATATTTATGTCGTAAAGCAAAGCCATTTCTCAAACTTTCCATTTTGAAGGCCACTAGTTTTGGAAATGTATAATTCGCTACCTTTCTTCGCCCTAAGGGTTGAATTTGGGTATTCCGTTCTTAGTGAGTTGTAATAAGGGTACGCTATTTGTAAAAAATTTCAGGATTACAGGGCTCTTGAGGGTTGACTGGAGAATCCTCTTCTTAGCGTGAAGGGAACTAAATTTCACGTTTCTGAATCCAGGACGTCGATTAGCCATTTTCTTTTTCAATACTTACCTTGAATGATTTAGTACAGGCTACAGTTGAGTATTTTCATTAAAATATAAAGCATTGGTTATAAATAATACTAATATGTAAGTTTTTACTAGCTAGTAATTGATTTTCACTAGGCGGTTAATTTTGGTGCTGCTAATATCTGTCACTGAAAGTAAGGATGTAATTGTTTCATTAAAATAAAATTTCCGTTAATAACGCGTTTTCAAAATAATTATGTACAAGTTTTCCTTAGCACCATTTAATGAATTTTTGATAAGAGGCTTGATAAAGACTTCCTAAGTTGCTCGAAACTAGTTGGTTAATGACTACTTTCGCGGTTTCGACACTAAAAGGCAGCGTATATTACACGAACTCGTTAAGAATCTGATATAATAAATCTGTACCGAAGAACTGAACAAATAATAATTTTGTAATATGTACTTAGTTATAAACAGTTTTATTTCTTTTAAGTTCTTTACAATAAAATCGTACTTTGTACTAATATAAAGAACAAGCTCTATATTTACTCTAGATCTGTTTTAAAAATTTCAAGATATCATCAAACACATAAAGAGTAAATTTTATTATATTTAATTAATTAATTGATGTATTTACTTACACAACCTTTGCATAACGTTTATGTGTTGCTGCAAAAATTACTGTATTATTGATATTTTCACTCAGATGAATGGATAATCTTGTTTATTCGCAAATTAAACAAAACCTGGAGAGACGCTTATCTCTATTCGGTTTATCGCTCGCGAGGGTACAAAAAAGGGGACGGTGGCGGTTTTGCACGGTACGTGACTAAGGGGCGGAGAATACTAACGTGCAGAGCCCAACTCGGTACTTATGGGTCGGTACGTGGTCGGTGGTACTTGCACCTGCAGCTTCTCACTTCTTTCGGAAAAACACTCGCAAGACTCTCGTCGCACCTCTTCTCACAATCATAGGTGCAGTGTAATATTAATAATAATAGTACTTTATTCTCAAATTTTTTGGAAAATGGAATTAACCGTTCTTGATTTAATTGATAAAAAAAAAGCTGTGGCTCGGCGTTGATCCTCGGATCTCTTACCTCCGAAGCCGGTGCGCTACGACTAGACTACCGCCGTGGTTATAGAACTTCGTACGATCTGTCTAAAAAATAAGACAGACTAAATATAAAAAATGTAGTAGCAATAAACAAAATTAAGGTAGAAATACAACTACAGAAGTATGTTATTTTATAAAATTTAAATAGGTTTCACTAAAAATATTTTACGGAGCTGTTATCAAATTGTTCGTAGAGGTCCTTAGAAAAATTAGTTGGCGTTTTACTATCTATATGATACCCCAAAAAAATGTGTAAAATTCAACAACAATTGGTCCAAT